CATGCGACTGCTGGAAGATCATCGACGTCCAATCGAATCGCTGTATCGCGACTGGGAATTTAATGGCGTCGTGGTGCAAGCTGCCCAGCGTGGAGACTTAACGTCTTTAATCTGGCTTGCAGAAACCTACATGCCCCATGGGACGTTGTCTTCCGCGGGCGAGCGCTGCTGCTGCGAGTGGACAATTGCTGCAGAGTTAGGTCATCTCTCGATCTTGCAATGGCTCCATGTAAACCGTAGCGAAAGGTGCACCGCAGTGGGGTGCGAGTTTAGTGAGCAGTTAATCCTTAACGGACCGGAGAAATCAAGTTCAAGATTCGACAGGTATCATTTATGGCTCATACATATTACTGACAACCGAGTCGGTGGATCAGTTTCAGATGATATATAGCAGGATATCATATTTTTCAGTGATCACTTACTACGGGTTTAGCTTACATCATAGGTTGACTGTTTATGTTGCCCCATCATTGTGTTGTCCGTAATTTGGAGCGGCACGAATTTCATTCTTGATTTCCCCTTGATCTACGCTGGAGATGACGGCCAACGACGATGAGCTCTGTCGTCAATTCCTTCGGATAAGCATCGAGCATCGAGCGTCCAACGCTACTTTGGGAACGGGGCACCCAGACTTTAGTGAGCGGGGTATTTACCTGTACGAGACTTCACCTATGATGGATGAGGACCTAGTTCATCCGAATACTACCTCGGCTTACTTCGCTATCCCTATATAGCTACTTGAGAACTTCAGGAACCACGTTGTGGGAAAGTTCGGGTTTACAAGTGTTTCTTTTCATCATCGAGGCACCAAGCTTCTGAACGAACTCGTCATCAAGAAAGATTACCCTCCAAACCAATTCGTGCGGATCCTGAGGCATTGCATAACAGGATTGTTACCTGACAAAGCTTTTTTACGCAGCGTGGAAGATGCAGTGCGTAATCGGCTTCTTGAATACCGGGTATGATATTTTTCGCGTGGACAGATCCGACACGCGGGTAACAGATCTCGTCAAAGCAAATCATTTGAGTACATCACATTTGTCGTTGGTTCCAGGCCCCTCCATTGCATTTTCCCCGATAAAGTTGCAAGTGCAAATCGGGGACGAAGAACGGCAAGATGCTTAGTTCGGCGTCAAGCCGCCGGGCGCCAAGCCTCCATCCGAGAACAGATGCGCGTGCTTCGCCAGCGGTATCGCGCTGAGAAAGAGCGCATCCGTAGCTCACACCGGTCTGCTAATCGGAACCTTTAGCGTAACGCACATAATATGTCTGTAGAGCAGTTCGAACGTCGGAAGGGACGGCTTTTAGCTCACCAAGCGCGTCGAGCCGAACGCATTCACCTGCATCAAGAAAACGAAAAACAGGAGTTCCAAGTCTTTCTCGAGCAAGAGATTCCTCCAACGGATGTCAAGAGGATCTACATGACAGAAATTCAAGATTCATTGGTCGTTGAGAAGATTCAACTGCAGACCATGCAACTACAAAATGCCGTTCGTCTGAATCAAGCAAGACCATCTATTCGATAGACGGTAAAACGTGCGACGTACAAAATAAAAAACTTTGTCGTAGAAGGATAAGTTTGCTGTTTATATTTCGACTGTAGTATTCTTACTTGTCTCTATTCAATGTCAATGGTGAAGTATCATTTTGTGAATGCGCCGATCAAAGAAAAAAAGCTGGCACGTCCTCGGAATACGACATCGGAGAGGTCGATGCCATCATCGTCACAAAACTGCCCATGCCCATGCCCATGCTCGCTTCAGTACCGTCCATGCTCGCTTTGTTAAGGCCTGGCACCGAGGCTTGGGGTGGGTTGCAAATGGAGGCTGGTGGCTTGTTCTCGAACTCGGTGCTCGCATACGGCAACTTCTCATCAGAAGCGAAGCCCTTGGGATGTTTTTCTTTCTTGTGTTTCTTGCCTTAATTGTCTTTCTCAGATGATATCTTCTTGTGTTTGCGATGCTTGTTTAACTTCTTCGACTTAGACTTCCGTTTATCATCAGAGCTCCCGTCGTCGGCAGCGGCATCCTTTGTGTCCAAGTCAGCATAGACTCCCTCCGCTTCAACCGCTACCTTTGCAGCGTTTGCCTCCGCTGCGGCAGTAGCGGCAGCTTGTTTTGCATCTTCTGCAGCAGCTTTCATGGCAGCACATTTCATCTTTGCTGCAGCAGCCTTCGTAGCTGCAGCCTTCATAGCGTTGGCGACCTTCTTAGAGGCTGTAGCTTCACTGTCAGTAACCTCCTGAGCTGCAGCGGCCTTGGCAGCAGCGATAGTCTGTAGAGTATCGGCTGTGTCCTTTGCGGCGATGGCCTTCATGACCGCCGTGTTGGCGCCGCGGGACAGGTCCTCCTTCTGACGCTTTTTCTTCTTTTGGTTGAGCGACTCACTGCCGCTGTCGAGCTTTTTCTTGCTCTTAATAAAGCGAGTGAAAACGTCCGCTTTCCCATTCTTCTGCTTAAATGCACTAGTTGCGTTGTTCTCCGGAGGTGCACTAGCTGCGATCTTCGTGATCGTGTCCGTGTTCTTTAAAGGCGTACCAGTCGTGTTATTTGCCATTCCAGCAAAGCTATCAGCACCAGAGGCTCCTCGAACTTCTCCTTGGATACGTTTTCTGGATGCGTCTTCAGTACGTGTCGATCAACAATTCTCTTAGTAAGCGCCTTGCGCTGCGTGTTTGCACGCCTTCCTTCCTCTTTTTCAAGTGAGAAGAGCGCCTGGTTGCAGTCCAGACAGTAGATGCTTACTGCGAGTTGCAAAGTAATTCTGCAGCTCGCGGATCCGGGGTTGCAGCTAGCTAGGCGAAGGTTTCGCCACATCGCTTTCACCTCCGCAGTCCTCTTGCTTACAGTCGTCGCCTTGAAGAGGCGACTGTGGTAGCGCAAGGTAATTGCCCACTGACCGTAGCGAACCCAATTAGGAGAATCTTCGTATGTGGTGTCTTTGCAACCTAGAGAGAGCTGAATTCTGATCTAGCTGAAGCTATTGATTTTTAATGCAACTTTAAGAAAACGCTTTGTTCTAATTGAAAAGTTTAGTAAAGATTTTCAGGACAAGCAAAATGCTAATTGCGCCAATCTAGTACGCCGTGCTTCTGTCTGCGGAATAATCTCCATCTTCGGGGGGGTATTTCTTTTCGTTGTGGCATCGCCGTTTCAACACGAAGCTGTCGTCTTTTTCGATAGCGTCGGGCTCTCTCGCGTCTTGCATTATCTCTGTCTCATCCAATTGTGTACAAACGCCGTTGATAGCTTGCGTAGTTGGCCTCATCATTGACACGAAGTGGGTGCACCCGCACGTGAATGTTCGTCAAAGTCACGCATGCTCTGAAGTTCAATTCGTAATTGGGCTCCTGCCATCTATACTTGTCGGAGCAGACAGCCCACAGCGTGCACAGTCTACCAAAGTAGTTATCCACTATGACGCAGTCATGGGAAATTGCGGCATTGGTCGCCTCTTGCTCACGCGTAATTGGTACTGATGACTGGCGTCGAATTGTGCATTATCCTCCTAAACGGCGCGAGCACCTGCGATCTGGCCTTGCACTCTGCGCCGTATACTATCACCGCTATATACCGGCCTCCGCCTCTCCTCTCTATCTTGATTTGCCCCGGTACCACTCTTTTATTCTCCATCCATCTCACGAACGCTTCTATCTTCTTCCTCCAATCCCCAACTCACCCCATTTTTTATTTTTTT